TTTAAGATACAAGACAGTTGTTGGTGATTCTCAGAGTAAAAACAAAGTTCCTAGACCATCATTCTTAACTGTAGGAAAACTTGATGAAAGGACGTCTGTATTAAAACTAGCTGAAAAGTGTAATTCCAGTAAGGAAAATGGAACTGAAAGTCTGCAAAATAGATTTATTAAGAATGAAAATCTGGAAAAGCAGAAGACACCAAGGAAAGGTTCAACAGAAGGAATGAAATTCACCCCCAGATGTGGAGCTGCTCAGCATGCCAAGACTCCTGCTGCCCCAAGCATAAAGAATAAGATTCTGTGTCCTCAAACAATATCAGCCAAGAAATCTGGTACTAATGAATTTACTCTAAATAGAAGGTTGCAAGAAAATACCACATATACTCAACAAACTGCTTCACAGAAAGAAGATACTCTAATGCAGAACATATGTGGTAAAGAAGACCCTTTCAAAATAGTAAACAGCAAAGTGACTGTAGCTGTGCGAATACGACCCTTTAGTGTCAGGTATATAACCATTTTTTTTTGACTAATATGTGAAATTATACAAGTTGTTACCATGATATTGAGTAGCATAACATGCTCTCCAACCACTTAGATATATTACCCAGTTTAATTTCCATTGTGTCTGTATACAAACTGCTGCACTTCTCTTTACTTCCATTGTCCACTTTATAAGGGATCTGTGTGTTCTAACTAAGGCTGAGACAATTTAACAACTATATGAAATAAATAAAATGGGATGATAGTTGATACTTTGTTAGCTCAGTAGCCCACCTTGCAAGGGAAGCTAATCCAATTCCCTTTGTATAACTCCATTTTAATAAACCTCAGATTTTGGGGGCAAGAGTATAGTCATATCCAGCACTGTTGTTCCCTTGTGCAGCAGACTTCTAGTTGTGCAACAGAACTTGTCATTCCTCTTCCCTGCAGCCCACCATGCATTCACAAAATCTGCTCCAGGGAGTTAAAGGACCCTCTGGAGCACAATTTGAGGGCTCACTCAAGAGGACAGGAAGGGGAAGTCCTGTTGTAAAAGGAACTCTGCATGCATAGTAATGTCCAGCTTTTTGTCCCCCTGTATACATTTTTTAAAGAAATGCTATGCAGCACAGTGGCTTTTGAATTTTTTATCAGTCTTCTGATTTTTAGGCAACCGATCTGCAGATGCTAGCTTACATTTTAGAAACTGGACACTTGCCATGGAGTTTATATTAGTAGTTAATTTAGTCTTTGATCTTGGAACTATATGTTTTATAAATATACAGTGGTGCCCCGCAAGACGAATGCCTCGCAAGACGGAGAACCCGCTAGACGAAAGGGTTTTCCGTTTTTGAGTTGCTTCGCAAGACGAATTTCCCTATGGGCTTGCTTCGCAAGATGAAACGTCTTGCTAGTCTTGCGATTTTTTCCCCGCTTCCCCCCCCTTTTTCTAAGCCGCTAAGCCGCTAATAGCCTTTTAGCAGCTAAGCCACTAAGCCTTTAATAGCCGCTAAACCGCTAATAGCGCTAAGCCGCTAATAGGGTTGCTTCGCAAGACGAAAAAACCGCTAGATGAAGAGAATCGCGGAACGGATTATTTTCGTCTTGCGAGGTACCACTGTATAAATTATTTTCTTTGGCTGATTTACTGTAATGCTGGATTGGTTTTTGTTACACATGTTAGCATTGGATCCTAAACAGTATATTTATGAATTATTTTGATCTAGGTGTATTTTGTACATTAGTTCTATGAATGGCTGATGTAGTATACTGAACTTCAATACAGTCTCTATGCTAACATTTTACATATAATGAAATTTCAAAAACCTTTAAGGAGAAGATTCATATAGAAAATTCATATGGCTGATGCACAATTAACCTGAAGACTGCCACATATTATAATGATTTAGTTACAACATCAATTAGACAATTTAGATTAAATTTGGTTTATAAGATCAGTTGCAAAGCTGAATGTGTTCAGTGTTTTGCCGTCCCTCGCCCCCTATAACTAACATTTCTTTTGTGCCTTTATTCAGAGATAAGAATGAAGAAACATTACAAGTGGTTTCCATGACAGGGCAAGAGACTGTTGTGCACCATCCAAATACAAAACAAATCTACAGTTTCACTTTTGACTTCTCATTCTGGTCTTTTGATAAATGTCATAATTTTGCAAGCCAAGAGATGGTGTATCAGTCTCTGGCAGTACCTCTCCTAGAAAGAGCCTTTGAAGGATACAACACCTGCCTTTTTGCATATGGACAGACTGGTTCTGGAAAGTCATACACGTAAGTTGGACTGGAAGTGCTCCATTTCTGTTGCTGTTGTTGACACCCAATACATGTCATATCCAGATGCTTTTTTGTTGTATGTTTGTTTCTTAAGTGAATGAGATTATTATTGAAACAGAAGACTGACTTGAATGAAGCCAAACTAACAGTACAGAGAACATTTTATTTAAATCTCTCTGAAGAAAATTATGGTATGTTTTTAACAGAAAAACCACCTATCTTCAGGACTGTGATTATCTGGTGCTTTAGGGTAACAGTAACTAAAAGACTAAGATCCGAAGCAGGAATTTCCTTGTTCAGATCTCATGTATGCTGTTAAGTCACTAGGCTCATAGGAAGCTCTCTTATACCAAGACAGACCATTCCGGTGTTTCCCAAACTAGCTGGAAAGCTGGAAAACTAGTCTAGCTGTTTTTGGACTACAGTTCCCATTATCAATGACCACTGGTCCTACTAGCTAGGGATGATGTGAGTTGTAGTCCAAAAACAGCTGGAGACCCAAGTTTGGGAAACACTGATCTAGCCTAATAATGTCTACTACTGACAGCAGCTCTCCAGGGTTTCAGGCAAAGTATCTCCCTCAGCCCAACTCTGGCGAACTTCATTTTACCTTCAGTAAAATGGTGACAGTAATGTTGGCCTATCTGGCAGGGTTGTTGGAATAATGGCTGAGATGATACTTGTGAAGTGTGTAGAAAGTTCAAGATAAACACGAGGTATTATAAAAAATAATATGGATCTAATATCTTCTCCTAGCAACTCTATGTTGTGAACTGCCCTGAGATTTGCAAATGAGGTGGTATAAAAATGTAATAAATAAAACAATTACGGTAATATGGAGTTAGGTGACCAGAAGCCACATGATAGCCAAAGCTTACCATATGGTGTGTGGATTGTCTTAACTTCAAACCATGCAGTTAAGAACACCATAGTCACCTGTCCTCTTTCCTAGCTAATCCATTTTAAGAATCTTATTAGATTTTACAATATTATGCAGAAATTTTCTTCTAGTTGTCTTTTAAAACTGGTACCCACTCTGTATTAATGCCTCATTAGGAAGTGTGAACATCGTATTTTGCAGAGATATAACCTGAGCCTATAATTGCAATATTTGTCATTACAGTATGATGGGATTTGATGATGACGAAAGAGGAATAATACCAAGATTCTGTGAAGATCTCTTTACTCAAATAGCAGAAAAAGAAACGCAACAGGTATTGCTGCAGCATTACTTTTCTTTCTGAACTTATTGAGGCTGCTCCACTTTCTTCGGGAGTACATGGAACCACCTTTGGGTTCACTTTTGGGCATCACTGTTGTAGAGGCACTGTTAATGTGAATCAACACTTCCACAAAGATGCACTACATGTGATTGCAATGATTTCCACAGTGGCAGCAGTGCTTTTTTGGAAGTATCCTGCAACAATTGCATGGGGGTTTTGTAGACTGGGTGATAAATGCTGTTGAGCTGATTGGCTCAATGCTTTTCTTGGGGGCAGGCATGTGGAGAGGTACAGAACAGTATTATATATTTTACCGGTATTCCCTCAGAAGTGATTGAACTGGGTAAAAGCCGACCCTGAAATTTGCCCCATCCTTGTGGCTGCTTCATACAGCCCATATTCACAGCTTATATTCATCACAGCTTCCATGTGGCTGTGTGTAGGAAGCAAATTGCCAAAACAACATATTTCTAAAGTACTTGATATTTCTGTGGTTTTGGGGTGTTGTTTTTTTTACCATAAAATAAAACCAGAAATCAATATGTACAGACTACAGCTCCTCTGTTGGCTAGCAAGGCTGATCTTACACCATAATAATTCTATTAATAATTCTAATAATTCTAATATATTCTATTGCTGTACTGTGTTTCTTGGGTGTACGGGCAGCAATAAAGCTGTTTGTTTGTTTTTTAATTAGACTGATTTTCATCTTGAGATGAGCTATTTTGAAGTCTACAATGAAAAAATTCACGACTTGCTAGTCTACAAAGCTGAAAATGGACAGAAGAAACAGCCTGTAAGTAACTAATTACATTCTGAACATTGACGTATTGTCAGTGTATAAAACAGTAACTCTCCGGATGTGGGCTAGCCTCATAACCATAAGGAATTCGATCCTTTCTGTTCTTGGCTCTTACAAGCATAGAAAAAGATGGGCATCTGTTCAAAGGCTAATGTATGAGCCTCAGTGAGGCTATATAGGGTTGTATATAGCCGCTTTCAACCCTGGCGGCATTTCTGCAGCCCGGCACTCTCAGCCCCGTATAGGTCTTCCAGCTGGCCATTTAAAGAGCTTCTACTTTGACTTGCAGACTTTTAGTTTTACTCACCTCTATTTTGTTTTGATTCCCTGTTTTTGTAGGTTTTGCTTCTTAAGCTGTGCTTGCATACTATTTTGCACAATGCTTTCAGTGAAAAGTTTTTATTGCTCTTCATGTTTTTTTTAAAATAAAATGTATTATAAAGATGCATTCTGTTTTCAGGGTTTTCAAAAGTTATTTTGTGGCAAAATAAAACAAAAACCATTTGTTTTGTTATCTGTGGTTTACTAGGGTTTTCACATTGTTACATTAAAATGCTTCAGTCTCTTATTTCTCCTCTGTCCCCATGCCCTTTTTAGTTTTTTCATGTGTGATGTCCAGTTGTTTGGCACATTATTCAGCCCTCAGGTTCACATGTGCAAATATGGATTAGGATACCAATGTCACTGCTGTTCTGGGGTCCCAGATTAGCAAACACCGAGTTGGAGAAGTTTCAGTCCTTCTACTTATGGATAATAACTTGTTAGATAGTTCCATAAATGTGCTCTAAATCTCTGAAGCTTTTAAAGCTGATCAACACTGAAAAAATAAAAAAATAAAAATACAGTTGATCAACACTGACTTTTCTGATTAACAGCTTCGTGTGAGAGAACATCCTATCTTTGGACCCTATGTGGAAGACCTGACTGTGTAAGATTTAACTTTATGATTTTTTCTACAAATGTCTGTTTGCTGACTTAAAATGGACCTATTAGTTATTCACATAACAAGAAGCCTGCAGTCAAGGAAATTGTTGGGTTTTTCAAACAAATTGTGAAATTAAGCCCCAACCAAACTGGCTATTGACTCTACTTTTTCACAGTGTCATTTCTCACTAATTCCCTGTCCCTCAGTTCTCTGCTTTCCCCCGGAATGCAGTTTCCTCCACCTACTGTCCTCTCAGACTTGTTTCTGTTCCACTGCCTGTCCTCCAGCCTTCCTTCAGCCCCCCTTCCCCTTCATTTTCTTACTCAGTTTTTGGGTCCTTAATCTGCCCCATGCAAGCAATTCTCCTCTTCTGTTTTGTATTAATCTCAAAGATATAGTTTGCCCTTTTCTTTCAGATGGGTAACTACAAATGTTCTGATGCTAACCATTTTCACATTCTGTAACACCACCTCAATTGTACTGGAGGTGTCGCCACCACAAGCAAAATATAATATTGATTCTCTTGTAAACTCTGTTGAACCTATAATAAAGCGTGGGTTTTCATTCCTTCAGGTGTACATATTTGGACCATAATACTGCTAGAATTGTGTAGTAAATCCATAATTTCTGAGGTATCTGTAGGCTTCATTGAAGCTTCTTGATGAATAATTGTAAGCTGAATGGTTTGTAGGACTGGGTCTGTGTTTATATGTGTAGAACTTGGTTTTTCCCCCTTCACAAGAGATAAAAATTATTATTTTTCTTCTAGGAATGTTGTTAGCTCTTACTTGGATATTCAGGTAAGGTTATTGTTGTTGTATGTATCTCATAAAAAGTCTCATGTAAAAAACTGATTTCTAGTTTTCAGTGATGGTAGATAAGAGATTATTGAGTAATTTAATTCTTCCAAACAAATAAGTATTGAAATAGTTGAACTAGCAATTACTTCTTTGTGGTAGATCCTTGTACTGATAGAAAATTACTTGCAGGATCAAAATTTCTCCTTTTACCCATTTCTCCAGAGTTCCTGTGAGAAATTGTAAAAGCTTTTGTTTTAATTTATAGTATGTTTAATTTTCTGATGTATATCTCTTAATGATAGAAGTATCAATTAAATATAAACAAAATGAAAGGCCACCAACCAATTCTGCCATAAAATCAAAGTTACCAATATAGTTGGTAACTGTTGCAGCTCAGATAAAAATGTCTACTCCAAAATAATGAGGACTTGGGTAAGCTTTTGGGTAGTGATTTGGCCATTTTTTCACACTTAGTGCAGTGTGCAGAGTTGTGCCATAAAGGACAGTATATCCCCTTCCTTCCCCCACTGACTTCCTGTCAGGTGTGTAGTGTTACAGAAAATCTTAAGTATTCCAAGGTGAGATCTTCCACACCTGCGCTGGAAGCATCTAGCTTCTTGCCATCCCCCAGAATTCTGACATGCAAGATACTGCTGGGGAAAAACAGGAGTAGAGCCATATGCAGGTCCCTGCATACAAAGACACAATATATGGCAAGCAAAGTACAATGAATGTGTTCATCACAATGTACCCGCTATTACAAGACATGTGGTACATACAAGCGGTAATCCAGAATCATCAAAATAAATACAATTAATATATTTTCATTATATCCAGCACACGGAAATTATTGGAAGCAGCAGAGCTGCTGTAGCAAACAGGACTGGAGCCTGGTGATCCCAGTTTCAAAGAGAAACTCCTTCTTCAGCCTGTGAAGTTAACAAGGTCCCACATCGGGTACAAGTTGGGGCAGCTGCCATGTGCTGGCTAGCTGTCTCTTCGAAACTGGGATCACTGGGCTCCTGTCATGTTTGCTACAGCTGCTTTGTACTTTGCTTGCCATATATTGTGTCTCTGTATACTAGCTTGAACCGCTGTTTTTTCTTTTTTGAAAGAACACTTGTAATCTTAAGGACAATGTTTAAAATTGGAAATATTTAAGGATAAGAAAATTATAGACATGTACTATATAAGAAATTATAAAAGAACCGGGGGAGGGAATGGAGGGAAGTCAAGGGATCTGAGGAATCCCAAAATACGGATTTAATATGGTATGAAAATGTTTTAAATTTATTTATTTATTTTTACTTTAATTGCATCTGTTTATTATGGTATGTGAAGATAATGTTTAATTGTGAAAACTATTTTTTTTAAAAAAGAAAAAGAAAAAGAACCCTTTTTTCTGTTTGTGTATGTTTTATACACAGTAGGTTCCTTATTTTTGCACAGGATGAGTTGGCGGGAGATGTGTAGAATGCCCCACCTTGGAGTGTACAGTCTAAATACATGACTAGCAGAGCACAGCTGCAACCCAGTAGGGGAGGAAAGCGCTATGCTGTGAGGTGGAGCTACTTGCTATATTTATAGTAAGACCCTACTACTAGCAGCAGCAGATGCGTGATGGATTTCAAATCTGTGTTTATTTTTAATATTTCAATGCCCTACTTCATTTTGGCTTTTTAACTTACTGACAACTTGAAAATCTAGATAAATCATGTGGACTCTCTTTCACTGGACATTTTTAAGCAGAGGTTGGATGGCCATCAGTCATGGATGCTTTGGACTCCTGCATTGTAGGGGGTTGGACTAGATGATCCTCAAGGTCCCTTCCAACTCTACAGTTCTATGATTCTATAAGTGGCTTTTGTGTGTGTTAGCACAAGTTGTTCTAGAAACATTTATTTTATTTTATTTTTTAAAACTCTCATGGTGCTCACAACTGTTTTCTCAAAAAATTCACATCCTCTCTTTTTATCAGAATTGGCTCCAGTTAGGAAATAAACACAGAGCTACTGCTGCCACAGGAATGAATGACAAGAGTTCTCGATCTCACTCTGTTTTCACCCTGGTGATGACACAAACAAAGGTACTGGGCATTTTGGTTTGCTTTTAAACTTACTTTTTTATAACATTTTGTAATGCAGGTCAAAAATTCAACAAAATTATTCATCCCCCTCTCTTCCCTTTTGCATAAAGGGGAACTTTTTATTTTTTAAAAAAATGTTCAATAATGTAGCAGACGTTGAGCAGAAAATTCACTTATTGATATAAAACCTGGGAAATAATGGTTTGGATCTCAAGGCGCCTGGCACAAGTGGAGAGACTTAATTCAAGCATCAACAAAAGTTGTTTAATCTTACATAAAGTAATTTTATGTATGGGCAGAGTGACTGCACACTATGCTCCCCATTTTTCTTTATACTTTTGTTTTCTACTGTAAACATAATGAAAGCATTAGCTTCCTATCGATGTGGTTGCTAACTTGTTTTATGAAGTTTTAAATGTTAGAGAATTAGAGCAGGCTAAGGGGGAGATTGTCTCCGGCTTTGTTTTTAAACTGTTCGTAGGCTGCAAGTCAGGTATAGCACAGGAGCATAGGAAATCATTGGTCCATCTAGAGTAGTACTGTATGCACTGAATGGCAGCAGCTCCAGAGTTTTAGGCAGGACTCTCCCAGCCCTATCTGGAGATGCCGGATATTGAATCTGAGACCATCTGCATGTAAGCCAGATACCCTACCACTTACCTACATCCCTTCCTCGCAAGCTGCATCCCTTCCCAACATGTCCAATTGTAGTCATTTCTTTATTTTAGACGGATATTGTGGAAAAGGAGGAACGCGAACACAGAATTATCAGTCGTGTGAACCTGGTAGACCTTGCAGGCAGTGAGCGCTGTTCTACAGCTCAAACCAGTGGAGAAAGACTGAAGGTAAAATGTATATAAGGTACTCTGCTGGGCCTTATATTCTCAGAAACTGGGCAACTGTCCAGCGGAGCCACCTTGTTAATCCCCACGCCAAGCAAATCGTACTGCAACACAACATGCAATATTATGGCATTGAACTTGAAACACAAAGAAGAACCACTTAACAAGGTCTTTTATACAGTGTCAGATTACTGGTCTACCTAGCTCATTACTAGTCCTTTCTACACCCACAGCCTCTTGCCACTTTATCCCATTTCTAGATCAGATTCAAGAAAGAAAGAAAAAACTATGGGCAAGTTCAGCCATCCTGGGGCCCATATTCCCAGGACAACCAGCCATGGGTTCTGACTTGACCTGACCCCAGTTATGTTTATGGTTCTTCAGTAGCAGCTCCTGAGAATACAGTGGCTGGGAAAGGTGACACCGTGAACTGGTATTGGGAAGCCGTAACAAGAGATGTGCCAGATTGCAACTTCAATATATATGCCCCCTGTTTATGTGCATCTATATAGCCGATTGTAAAATACTATTCTTCCTGTAACAAATGTGTGAACTAGATGGATTAAGCATCTTCCGCCTGTGCACACTTTAAGACATGGAATATTAGTATTGTTAGATACAGGTAGTCATTTGGGTATTGGAATATATAGATGGTGAGGTGACTAGTAGAATGCCTTGGTTATATTTAGGCAAATATTATTTATTAATTTATCATTTATTAAATTTGTATACTGCCCTATACACTCAGGTATCAAAATAATTAATTGTAAAAGTGGCCCAGAATTGAATCTAAATGATGGGGATGTCCCATGCCTCTGAAATGAACAGGAAATAGAAGTGGATATTCCTCTGCCTTGTGCAATAATGTAACTGGGTTTATGCACCTATATTGTGGTGCCTGTAGGAAAAACTGGAGCATAATATGTTGATGCTATTGACTGTTTCTTTCCTTCTCAATATAGGAAGGTGTGAGTATAAATAAATCCCTGTTAACTCTGGGGAAAGTTATTTCTGCACTGTCTGAGCAAAATCAGAGCAGGAGGAAGGTGTTCATTCCATACCGTGAATCTGTTCTTACATGGTATGTACATATTTTGTGTGCCATAACAGCTTAAAAAAAAAGCTTCCTTTTTTGTAGTGATCCTTTCTTTCTTGGCAGCATTT